GTCAAATACACCTTGAACCAATATTTTATATAGAGAGGATTGTACTTTAAAAGACTTTTTTCTGAAAGCAGTTTTAATCTTTTTGAATTCGTCAAAAAGTGTTAATAAAAGATCAGATCACAATATCATCATGACTCATATTTAAATTTTTTAAACCTGATTAAAAATAATTAATCCTAATAGTTTTTGAATATGTGTATATATATACATGTATGTATGTTATAATATATGTACATCCATATATATGCTTATATGTATGTTTTGGGTATATACACTATACACATCACTTGCATATGTGTTCATGTGTATAATTGTGGATACATTAATATATAGATATGTGCATATGTATGTATGAGTATGTAGGTGTGCATATACATGTTCATGTATGTATGTATTATATATATATATATATATATATATATATAATACATAATATTTCTCAACATTTACTAAAGCAATATTTCCTTTTTTCGTAAATTATCAAACAAGAGCCATAAAAATCATTTTTGCCAAGAGTCCGTGCTTTGTCCTTTACATCTGGCAGACAGAAATCCATATCAGTGTGTTTAAGTCTTGTGTAGTCGTAACATCTACAAATATCTTCCAAAAAAATCGAGTGTTTTTAACAAAAAAAAAATATTAGTGATATGGATATATAAATTATTACAGGTAAATAATTTTTGCTTCTCAATTTTATATAAAACCTTTTTTAGTTAAGTCTTATTACTATCTATCCGGTACATAATCCATTCCTTTATAACAAAATTTTTTTCTAATTAATCTGTATTGACCATTGTTAATTAATGTTAATCAGTATTTTAAAAAAATTGTATTTGACAGAATAAACCTGATGATGGAACGTACCTAGTTCCGAAACGTCGTATTAAACATCTTCAAAAAACAAATTGTTTTTATTATTGGATTTACTGTTCGGAAAAGAAACAATCATATATTGAAAAAATCCAGGACTTATCTATGAATATACTCCAGAACACAATGGGACGAAATTTCTTTCAATCACTGTCAAACACTTCAGACCACAAGCACCACACTCTGATGAAAACATTTTCAAAACTCAATATTAAATATGCAAAAGCCATCAACAAAAAAATATTTTTATTACGATGTAAAATGAATGGATTATACCGAATTTCATAACTAATATTATCAACCAACAGTTTTTACAAACAACTTCAAATATATATAAAATTGAGCGGCAAATATCATACTTACAAAATTCAGTACTTAAATTAGAAATAAAAAATTCTTTTATTGACATAAAAAATAAAAAAACACGAATAGATCAGATAATAAATACACTCCGAGAAACAATAGATAAAAATACTTTTAATAAATTTTTAGAATTCGAAAATAAAAAATACGATAAACACTTTCATATTATTAAAAATAAACAAATACAGAAATTGAAAAATCTTATACAAATTCGAGATAAAAATTATCCATTTCATGTTTCTAAATTTTCGATAGACAAATGGCTAATAAATAAAACCAATATAGTCATTCCAGAAAATATCCAATACATTTTAGCACTCGGTCCAAAATTCAATTACGCACCTAGTAAATACAGAAATAATGACTTCATAAAAATTTTAAGTAACATAGAATACAATATCAGGAACATTGAGACTGACAAGCAAAATCGAATCAGGTCAAAACTATGTGAAAAACTAGTTAAACAATTAAAAAAGTTGATAAGAGTTTCCAACATATTCATCTTAAAAGACTACACAAAGATATAGCGGAGACCAAATTATTCATTAAATCTAATAATATAATTGTTTGTCCAGCAGATAAAGGCAATATGACGGTAATTCTTGACAAAGAATTTTATACTAACACTACATTACGAATGCTAAAAGATGATACTACTTACAAAATCATTACAAATGATCCAACACAACAGTTTTCTAGACAATCATTAAATTAATTAATGAATTAAAAAATAAAAAATTCATTTCTGACAAATTTGCCTATAATTTAAAAGTACAACATCCTATTTCCCCAAAAATGTATTGTCTCCCCAAAGTCCACAAACCTGAATGCTCCTTTAGACCCATTGTATCCTACGTTGGCTCCCCATTCTATAATATCGCTAAACACATTGCTAATATTTTAAAAAATGTCACAATTTCCTCTCCTCACTATGTAAAGAACTCTTACCAATTTGTGGATCTAATCAAAGACCGAAACATTACGGACGATCAAATTTTTCTAAGCCTTGATGTAATTAACCTTTTCACATGTGTTCCCCATGATTTAATACTTGATTCAATTGAAAAACGCTGGCCCACTATTTGTAACTACACCGACTTGCCCATAACCACTTTCAAACACATCATTAACACTGTCCTGAATTGCTCTTATTTTAATTGTTTCAATAATTTTTATCTACAAATCAAAGGTACTGCTATGGGTTGCCCATTATCCCCTGGCATCATAGACCTAGTTTTACAAACCCTTGAAATTTCCGTTTTCTCCACATTAAATTTCCAAATATATTTTTACGTTAGATATGTAGATGACACTTTTTTTATAATAGACAAAGAACAATCAGATATAATAATCGATACCTTTAACAATTACAATAAGAGCATTCAGTTCACACATGAAACACAAATCGACAACAAATTAAACTTTTTAGACGTGACTGTACACAAAATTGACAACATTATTTGCACAAATTGGTACAGAAAAACTACATGGTCCGGGAGATACCTTCATTACGCGTCATATTGTCCCAAAAATTATAAAGTCAATACAATCATTTCTTTGATAGACCACGCAATCATGTTGTCTCACTCCTCTTTTCATACCCAAAACACAACATTAGTAACTAAAACTTTATTAGAAAACGGATATCCCCTCACCCTCATCAATTCCATTACCAATAAAAGACTTTCCTATCATAAAAGTAACAATTATCAATCCATCTCCAAGTTATTCCAAGACAACAATATTAAACCAACTTTTCACAGCATGCCTTACATTGAAGGCTTATTTGATTATTTTGCCAAATTACTCAAAGAAGAAAATATTTTCATTTCAGGAACAGCTCTATATTCTTTTAAAGAAATGTTTTCAAAAATTAAATCCACCACCCCTCCTAAATTCAATACTAACATAGTTTATTCCATCCCTTGCAAAAATTGTCAAAAACAATACATTGGCCAAACATCACAGTACATTCATAAGAGAATGAGACAACATGAATTAAGCGTCACTCATCATAAAAGCCGAAATTTCCAAAGTACTCTTGTTCAGCATTCCATCGAAAACTCACATAATTTCACCTTTGAACCCAATATTTTATATAGAGAGGATTGTACTTTTAAAAGACTTTTTTCTGGAAGCAGTTTAATCTTTTTGAATTCGTCAAAAAGTGTTAATAAAAGATCAGATCACAATATCATTCATGACTCATATTTAAATTTTTTAAACCTGATTAAAAATAATTAATCCTAATAGTTTTTGAATATGTGTATATATATACATGTATGTATGTTATAATATATGTACATCCATATATATGCTTATATGTATGTTTTTGGGTATACACTATACACATACACTTGCATATGTGTTCATGTGTATAATTGTGGATACATTAATATATAGATATGTGCATATGTATGTATGAGTATGTAGGTGTGCATATACATGTTCATGTATGTATGTATATATATATATATATATATATATATATATATATACATAATATTTCTCAACATTTACTAAAGCAATATTTTTCCTTTTTTCGTAAATTATCAAACAAGAGCCATAAAAAATCATTTTTGCCAAGAGTTCCGTGCTTTGTCCTTTACATCTGGCAGACAGAAATCCATATCAGTGTGTTTAAGTCTTGTGTAGTCGTAACATCTACAAATATCTTCCAAAAAAATCGAGTGTTTTTAACAAAAAAATATTAGTGATATGGATATATAAATTATTACAGGTAAATAATTTTTGCTTCTCAATTTTATATAAAACCTTTTTTAGTTAAGTCTTATTACTATCTATCCGGTACATAATCCATTCCTTTATAACAAAATTTTTTTTTTCTAATTAATCTGTATTGACCATTGTTAATTAATGTTAATCAGTATTTTAAAAAACATTGTATTTGACAGAATAAACCTGATGATGGAACGTACCTAGTTCCGAAACGTCGTATTAAACATCTTCAAAAAACAAATTGTTTTTTATTATTGGATTTACTGTTCGGAAAAGAAACAATCAATATATTGAAAAAATCCAGGACTTATCTATTGAATATATATATATATATATATATATACATGTGGATATCCATTTTATGTATGAATATGAATATGTGTATATAGACACTCGTATATAAATAAATTCAATAAACTGCTCCCTGTTGATCTGCTTGCTGCTTTTGGCTATATAAAGTATTATTACACAATAAAATCAATATCTGAAAGTTAATTTCATATTAGTATCATATTATTTTCATCGCTATATAATCGTTTCGAAAGCGCGTCTTTTAAATAAAAAATGAATACTTTCATGATATAATTTATCCTTTATGAATTCCGTCTGATGAAATGAAATAAATAATAGACAAAAGTATACTAGACAAAACAAAAAGCTCCTGGCATGGGTAAGAGAGATAAGTCAAAATGAATGATTGACGACAGAAATGGAAAATTTACGCAAAAGTTATTCAGAATAACAATACAGCCAACAAATGGTATTTGCGATACAAAGGTGAAAACGGCCAATGAATACCAATAAACAAATATCATTAAGCACAGACAATATACAGTGCAACAAAAATACTACACATGTATAAGAAACATAATAAAAGCACGAGGCAGGCGTTATACATGGACATATGTATAGCATTAATATCAAGAAAGGAAAAGATAAAACATTGACAAAACACTCTGAAAATAAAACGGATAGCACAGTTATAGCACAGTTTATTAAATTGTCGGGGCAATATATTAACGGACGTTTTATAAGAACGGGGCTGTAAATAGCCCAGTATCTCTCACCCCCAGGAACTTTTTGATCTTTTCGTCTAACATGGCTTGACGATCCGATCTCGCATTCCTCTCTCGTTGCCTCATTTCTGGAATACATAGATTTGCAATCACACCAATAACTATGGAATTTCAAATGTATTATGCTTTTGAATCATATATGAAATACAACATGGTAAAAAACACTTCTCCGAGTGATGAAAAATAAATAAATCAAATAATAATAGAAAATTATTTGCAATACATTATCACTTCACATTGCTTTTTTACTAATTAACCTAGTCAGTAAATATATCAGTAAATTATATAACAAAAAAAAGTTATAACTCATTCAACTATTAAAGTAATAGTAAAAATTATATAGGGGCTAATTTTCCGACAAATTAGAAATGTTATGGCAACGCTATGTTACGGTCCTATATTTCTTGACCCTATTCTGCCGCACAACAAATCAATGTTATGACAAGGCCATGTTACGCTCCAACTTCCAAACATTATGCTACTGAATACTGTCAAAATGTCATGTATTTGCTGTGCATTCACGCGTTTTACACATAAACTGCAACGTCACTCGTATGTTATGAAGCTGAGTCAGAAAAACCCTGTTATCACATCGTTTTTTGACAATTGTGCTTTTTCTGGGTTAGTTTTTTAACTTCCCGTAGGGCAAGTTATAGTAATCGCAAAAAAATCGAAAATAAAAATTTTTATATATCTTTACGTTTCAGAGGTTTCTGAACATTTTGGCATACCTTAGAAAAAATGGATGTATGTGTGTGTGTGTGTGTGTGTATGTGTGTGTGTGTGTGTGTATGTATGTGTGTGTATGTATGTGCGGATACAAATTTTCGTCGACGATTTCGGGAACACGGATCAACCGATTTGAATAATTCAAAAAACATTCGATCCGTATTGATAAGGAGACGTTCTGATTAGTTTTTGGCAAAGGCAGGTCAGGCCGTTCCGAAGATACGGGGCAAAAAGTTCCGAAAACGGTAACTCAGTTTTTAAGAGAATGGAGCGTCCGATTTTAATAATTCAAAAAACATTTTATTTGTATTGACAAGATGAAGAATCGATACAACTTTCATGAAGGTAGGTCCAGCGGTTTCGGAGATATAGAGGAAAAAGTAAAAAAATGAGCCATTTGGCGGTCAAAAATGATCATTAGACATATGCACATCAAATTATCAGACATTTTATAGAGATTTTAACAATAAGTATACATTTTGTTCGGTTCCGTACCAATGCTTATGCGTTAGACAGCGACGCGGCGCTTACGCGCTTTATATTTTGTCCCTATGTAGTTAAAGCAGTACGATTGCTTTGAAAAAAAAGTTCAGATCTTCCACAATATGTCAAAATAAAGAAAAAAAATTTTTTTTTCAAAAAAAAAAATTTTTTTAAAAAAAAATTTTTTAAAAAAAATTTTTTTTTTCAAAAAAAACTAATTTTTGTCCAATTTATAGTTTCTCAAAAATCTTATTTTTTCAAAGTAATTTTTTTTTCAAAAATGTTAATCGTTTTAAAAAAAAATAATAATTTTTGGTACGGGAAGTTCCAGCAATTTGCCTTAAGGCACGATGCCCTAATTGCCTTAAGACAGAATTCCACTTACAGCTAGTTTTTATCTTACAACCTGAGTATAACGTCTGACTGCACAGCAAACACATGGCTTTTGACAATATTTAGAACAAATTAGTATGAGAAGTTTTTCATAACATAGCCTTGCCATAAAATTTGTTTGTTATGCGGCAGAGTCGGTCATTCTATGAATTGGTAGTAAAAATTGTCAAAAACCTATATATTTTCTTTGCCATCAAGCATTTCACATATAAAACCTAACCTACAAAACGCACCAGCGTCAAATAACAATTTTACGATAATTGCATCTTTCTGATATTTTATTGATAACACATGCGTGAAGTTAGGTTTTATGTGTAAAACGCCTGTCCGCATATCAAATACATAGCTTTCTGGCAGTGTGATACTAACAATTCATACGAAGATAGACCCGTAACATAGCATTACCATAACATATCTATTTTATCCGGGAATTGGCTCCTCAGTCAGCAAATACCATCAAGTTAATCATAACAAAAAAAGTTTACCTCAACTTTATAGTTTGAAAATTATTTTATCGCTTTGCAATAGTAGTAGCAATCTGATAATGATTGCTATTACTATTTTTTTAAGATGCATTAAAACACTGAATAATGAATACAAAAAAAATCAACAAATTAAAATGTATGTCGTGTTGAATTAATTATTATTTTTTTATTACCATGCAACAACTATGAAAATCATATAAACTCATATTTCACCCAGGTGCTGGTAGTATTAAAATAACATTATTTTGCTTATCCATTGTTACCTGAAATATTACATGATGGTATACATAAAACCTAATTATTTTAACTAAAAATTCATTTTTTGGATATTTTGTTGTTGTTGATGGTGTCAATCGTTCGTGTAGGTGCATTTTTGTGAAGTGGGAGCAACAACTTATTTGTGTGATGATGTCTATGAATCCCAACATATGTAAATTTAAATATCACATTTTTACGCAGTCTATAGAATATTCTATTTTCTATATAGTAATGAGATATATAAATCATTCATTTTGCTTAATTTGTCATTTGTTCTATTGTATTTAAATACTATTCATATATAGAACGAACATAGAAATACTAAGTTGCATTGCATTTTCATTGAGTGATGATCAATCATAGATTGACTCATATTAAATAAAGGGAATTTATTATATAATATTATTATATTATATAATAACTAAATAAAGAAATAATAATGATAAATAAAGAAAATTTTGTATACTTTTAGAATATTTAATTTTTATTAATTTAAAATAAATTGAAACTGTAGGATTCATGGTATATTTCGAGTTCGATGTGGAACTCTACTACTACGTATGTATCCCACTTCTGTTTTCTCTTCAGCCAGGAGCGCAATCGGAAGCCGGCCAGTTGAGCCACACGGCTCTTGTCGGGAAAGTTTGTAAACTGACTGAATTACTGCCTGGCCTCGACTAACACACATTAACTCATGTACATTTCTGTGAACTCTCTCAGGTTATGTCCGGCACTTCTAAATGACCCTCGAATCGACCGCATCGTTAGATTTGCTGAATTTATCAACAAACTCGGCGAACGCGCACGTCGCACCGCCAAAGTCGGTAATGAGGTACTGACAACTCACTCGATGCAAACAGTATCACTGCCATTATTATTTACATACACACACACATATATATATATATATATATATATATATATATACTAGCAAACCCGACGAACTCCGTTTCGCCACCAGATGGTTTAGTGAGAAAGATGAAGAAATTTTTTGCTTGTTTTATAATTGAAAAGAAAAAAATTGATTTTATTGCACAACAGTAACGAATTTATTTCGATTACAAAAATAAAGTGTTTTTTAGTTGAACTTCTCTAAGTAAATGAAATTGAATCCGCAAATTATCCATTTCATTGAAGTGCTCTTTGGTAAACCACATTTTTTGTTTTTTGGTCTGACGTTAACACAAACAAAGCGGATGGTTTTCCAACTCGTGAGCAGGCAACGTGTAACTGCCCATGTGAAAAACAATGATTTTCTAAATAGCACGATGCCATGCACCACTAATTTTCTTAGCTATAAACCTTGCGGAGCCCGAGACCTTTCCAACAAATGCAAAATTGTCGAAATCGGTTCGTGTGTTCTGGAGTTAAATCGTCAGGAAGGAAAACCCGACTTATTTTTATATATATGTAGATATAAGGACTTTCCAAATCATACTAATTTTACTACAAATTTGCCATTTTAAATACGGTATTAATTACATACTTCAGCCAATAATAGCAAATGCAAAAAATGATGATCATACATATTATTTTCAAAATATTCATAATTAAGTTTTGTAATGAAATACTCAGCCGTTATTAATTGCCTAAGTATATTTTGTGACACGTTTCAAATATATTTAGAATACCAAAATTTTTAAAACTAATTAACTCTTCTCTAACTATTAACAAATACAAAATAAGATCTTTGTAAAGCTTGCAAAATAGTAAGGTATACAATATCCCTACTTTTAATACATAAGTGATTATTCCAATTCCTACCTAAATGAGCAGCAATATCGCTTAACTTTGCTTTTAATGTGTTTTAATTTCGTTCTATTTTCGTGTATACATCTTATTAGATACAATTTCTAAACAATAGTAATCTCGACCAAAATATATAATATGAATTCTAAAACTAGCTTGTGTGGTCCGATATGAAATTATAATATTTTACACGAAAGTGCATTTATGTATTGTGCTTAGGTTTTGGTTTTGTAGATATAGAGAACAGTTTTGAATGGCCAGATGTAGTAAAGCTTTCTCTCTGTAGAATACAATTTTGCCATTAAATGATTATTAGAATAATAAATATGAAGTATTTACCATACTTGGAGTCCTATTATTGAATTGTCTTTTTAAATTAGTAAATAAACTAATGAAATTAAAACTTTCACCAATATAACAACAATGGCAATCGTTACAATTTACCTTATAAATAAAATGTTGATATTTTTTTAATTTGTATATTTCTTAGTAATTGTGTAATTATATAGACTTGTATATTATTCTTTAGATTTTGTTAACTTGCTGAATGGTGTTAAATCGTTATATCATTGTAAGTAAAATTACACCCATATGAATGAGTGGCCTTGTAAAAATTTTGCCACTTGTATCACTAGTGTGATTTACATAGATCGTAATGTGTTATTAAGTATCAATTGAAAAAATCTTGTCCCGATACAATATTGTCAATTGCCAAAACACTTGATTATCCTTTTATGCATTCGACGATCGCATAAAGCTCTCTACATCATATGTACATACATATAATATGTACTATGTAAGATATGTATCGCTCTGGCGTGCTAAGTATGTACGGGCGCTGTTGGAGCAGTTATTATAGCAAATTGGGCTGTAGCGTCGTCGTGTTTCTATGGCGTACTTTCGTATTATAAATCATTGTTAGTTCGAACAATTTCTCCATGAAAGGCGATCACATAGAAGGATCGTGCCGG